CTGTGGAACTTGTTGTTGGATGGAAAATGGCCGGATCTTGAGCTGTTAATTAACTGCTCCGCAACTCAGATCAGCAACGCACTCTGAAGAGGTCACCAATCTACACCTTTTGAACCTATTGCCACGCCACGCAATAGTTGAGGCACCACCTTTTCAAGATCCGCCTTCAGATTTGGGTTGATGTTGATCATTCCTGGGTTCAGTCAGTCCACTGGGTAGCTGAGGTGTATGTTCACAACTATACCCGAGACATCATTGCAACTCGTCCAGAGAACTTTGCAGAACTTTCAGAAGAGGAGAAAGCGCTCATAAAGAAGTTGGGCACTTACATCAAGGCCAAGCCGCTTTTTTATGCAGAAAGCAATTTATGCAGAAAGCAATGCTACCTATTACCTATCATGTTAAGCAGTATGATGCTCTTGGTACCGCATCTTGAGAAAAGCAGACGTTACATTCTTTCGACATCCTTCGTGCTGTGAAGGAACTTCCCACTGAGATTGATCGAATCTACACCAAAGAGAAGGCGATTCCGGTAATCTATGGGTCTCAAAGCAGCTGTGAGGCGATGAAGACCTTCTTCTACTACGACAAGCACAGCACCCTGCTGGATGCCTCCAAGCTGAAGAGAGTGAACAGTGGGGCCTTGGAAGATTGCCGTCGGGCAATGGTTTGGTCCATGAAGTTGGGGACAACACTTTGCATTTATTGCGGCGATGTGATGCCGGATTTCCTGGAAAAGATTTGCATATCTAAGTACAAGGATTTATTTCCCCTATCTCTCTTTATGTATGGTGGTATGGAGAATGACCTGGTGCGAGAGAAAATCTTCAGAGATGATGAGAAGGAAGGTGGCCAATGCCCAATCAGACCTGGATTCATGGTTTGCATCATGATCATGTATGACACCATGGGCTTGCAGATGAGCAGCATGCGAAAGGAGGAAATTGCAGGCAAGATCCCTGAATTTGGCCGTATGCAAGAGATTCGGACATACAATGACGATGATCGGATCAAAGCTTTAGCAGAGATGAGTTCAGGCAAGTAGCAGGCGTTGGCTCTGTCCACATACAGTATAACAATTTTGGATAGAAGTTCTTCTTGCAATAAGCTTCCAACCCCTGCACTGGCCGCCTTTGACTAGGCCGGGAATGCTTGTCAACTTCTTCAATTTGATTGGAGTTTGTTTCACGCAGCCTGATTTGATCGGCTGGGAAAAGGTGCGAGCTGCAATTGGGCTAAAGTGGCAGAAAGAACCCAGAGAAGCCAAGTAAGGAAGCTTTCCTGCCCGCGAGTCCTCCAGGGCGCGCTGGACCCTTTTGATGAAAGGCAAGGTGAGCAGGGCTGAGCGGGGTTGAGAGGGGCTGACAGTTCGGGTTGGCCAGGCATGCGCAGGTGCGCCATTTGCTGCAGTCCAATGCGCAGCTGGTGACTGAGAAACCATAAACAGGTTGGGGGAAGTGCTTGCCAAAAATGCAAAGGGTAATCTCAACTTCTTGTGCTCAGCTGGTGGGGTGGATGTGAGGTTTTGTGCAGGCTTGTTCGGCAAAGAGGCGGCCCTAGAGCTTGCTCCTGAGTATGCGCGCTGGGCGCATTCGTTGCTCTTCCATTCCATCCCTGTTTCTTCTTACTTTCCTCCCATTTTGTCTAGTGATGTGCGAAAATGGCAGACACAAACATCGTGCAACTCCGCTGCGCCGCTCCCAAGCAAACTCTTCAACAGACAATCTGAATGATATTCCTCTGCAAACCTCCTCGAGGTTTTTGGGGTCTACGCGGTGGCCCGTGCAGCTGCTGGACTTCGAGGCAGCGATCCTCGTCTTTGCTGAGCTATTGACCGTCATACTTTGGCCTTTGGTTGTTTCTTCTCATGGCAGATTCACTTGCGCAACTCCACGGACTTGTCTGTCACCAAAAGATATGCCGAGAGCCTTCCCCAAGGCGAGGCCTGAGGAGAGCAGCTGGCAAGTTCATGCAATCAATCAACCGGATTGGGGGTCTCATGTTCCCATGAGATATGCTGTTGCAGACAATTGAGTCGACTAGTCATTCCTAGAGACTACATGCTCAAGAGTGACACCAAGCCCAAGCAAAGGGATGAGCATGGCATGGACACGGAGTCCGCTGTGGAGCTCTCATGACTGGAACTGTCGCGGGGCTTGTGAAAGCCATGGAGGCGGCGGAGAGTTTGCAATGGGCTCCAATAGGTTTGCCAAAAAATCTGGCGGGTGGCTTTACTGGAGCACTTAGATGCTCGGGCAATCTTCCGGTTAGACACGGTTTCAGCATGTTGCTTACTTTTTTCTTTCCGTTGCACTACTTTGTACTGTAATTCTTTGCCGCTTTCGTCCTGTTTGTCTCTTCCCATTTTGGCAGTTAAGAACAATGGCGGTATGCATATCGGGTTCTGCTGATGCGCTTCAAGAAGTGTAAGTTACTGGGACGCCTCTACTATGATGTCGCGGGAGAAATTGACATCATTGGTGGGTCGAGCCGGGCAGTGAGTACGGCCTTGTGTTTGTCGAAGCGTGTGTTGCAAGCGAGGGCAGAGGCAGCTCTGCTTTTGAGCTTGATGCTCAACAGCCATGCGCCAGAGGCAATTTTTCAACTTACCCCTGAACTGCTTCAGAATGGCACTGGCTTGCATTTGACACGGTTGGCTCGATTTCAAGACTTCAAATTGGACTGGTTGGTGCTAGGGACTGCCAAATGTAGCACCACATCCCTGCAGTACAATTTGGGAATCCACCCTGATATCAGGCTCAAATCAACCCATGCTACCACCTTCTCTCACTCGTTGCTGTACTCCTCCTCACGTTTTCTGCCGCTTCACAGCTTGCAGAGAGAATTCTCCAGCCATTTGCCCAGCGCACTGTTAGGTCATCCGGACCACGGGAAGGTTGGAGGGACAACTCAAGGACTGCATAGGCCATTGGTGGGCTGTTCCCTGGTGGCCGACATGGAGCCCGCATATGAGGAGGGAACCGGGAATATCCTGAGTTCCTTGCGGTCTGATGCAGCAGCCGAGCATTTTTTGTATCCATTTTTGCTGTGGACGCTATTGTCGGCCAAGCCACAGATCAAGATGATGTACGTCGTCAGAGATGCTGAGAGGATTAGAGGCAATCATTTTCTTTGCCGTTGCATGCGCGGTACCCTCTTCAGCTGTGTGTCCACCAAATCCATGTTGACAATTGCCAGCTGCGCTGATTTGAGTTGTTTCGTGTCTTGACGAGGATTATATACTTACAGTAGCACATCTTAGCACAACTTTTTTCATTTTGTTCCAGTGCTGGAGCCACTAATCCATGTGTTCAGGACCCTTTGGAGTGCTTCCTCTCGTGGAACAGCTGGAAAAGCATAGTGCCACCGTGGTGTCCAAATTTCTCCAGTGAATGCTGGCATTCGGTAGGGCATTGTCGCATGTCCCAGGCGATCGAGCTTGTTTGCTCTTTGGAGATTGAAGATGGCGCGGTTGAGCATGTGCAAAAGCCAGAAGCACCCTGCTCCACATACGCAGGTCGATTGGCCCTCATGACGACATCGCAAACAGCAGAGCCCAAGGCATTGGCGGCAGCGGCTCGATTCTTAGGGCGGAGCCCAATGATTTACTCCACGGAGACTGCACGTGTGCAGTACATGAACCTGGGAAAGTCAGGCGGGGAACCTCTTGGGTTTGAACAGTTAAAGTTGCTTACCTCTTAGTCCTACAGACTCTATGGTGCTACTTACCCCTAATATATCGAATCTTAGTGCCCCAATGTCTGTTTGTTTGGGCCACTGAGGGCGTCATGACAAAACCGTGCTGTGTGGACGCCGAGTTGGTTGGAGGGTCAGATGGCGTTTGCGGGAAATTTTCCAGGAGGAGTACGGTCGGTTGGCTGGGCTTTTGGCCCAGTTTCAGCTGGTGGATGGGTCTGCGGAGGGCATGTTAGCAGCGAGGGATTGGACATGCCCTGGCGACTAGCAGGATTCGAGCACTACTTATTCCGACTTGTCAGCATCTAGCCGCTAGCCGAGTGTCAGGCCAGCTGTTCTCAAGCTGTGCAAAGTTACTGAAATCGGGTGCCTGGCTGGCATATCTTTCGCTCATGGGTGCACTGATTTGATGAATGGTTTGTGGATCCTGTGGTTCATGTGCGACTGACGCAGCATTTTGCGGCCTTAGCTTCCGAACACTGGAAGATTTGTCAGGGAGCTCAACTGACAGGACATATGGTCCTTCAGTTCTTTCTGCTGTAGGCAAAGCTAATTAGCATTTTGTTTGGGACGAATCGACATGTTCTGCGAGGATCGTTTGGTAGAGATGAAAAGCTTCTTTGCCACCAGATCCAGCATACAACAACGTCTGTGAAGTTCAAAAAGCAGAATTCACCAAAGCCAAGAACTTGTTTTGAACCGAGTCGCCGATGTCAACATAATCTTCTCACAAACACTGGGTTTATCATGAAAAGAGGCGTTTGTTGGAGCTCAGGGTAAATCAGAAGACTATTGTCACTACGACCTGTCACCTGTACACATGGGATTCAAGTATGCACGCCTCAAAGGAGTTCTGCGTTGTGAGCCAAGTCCATTCAGCACGCAGGTGTGGAAACCTTCAACCAGCTAAGGCCAGGAAGTCAAACAATGTTTTGAGAGATTTTGATGGTCATTCAATATTCAAGCAATTTTTTAAAACAAACATGCTTTTTTGATGCCTTAGTTGTTGCAAGACCTCCGGATTCTCTGGGCGGAGTTGACTAAATTCTGGAGGCGCCATTGGCCAGAGCCATTGTTCCTGGGGCCGGGATCTGTGGATCCGCAGGCTGTGTTTATGCTCTGAGAACAGAGGGGGCGCGGATGGGGACCTGAGCTTCTGCCCTACCATGACCAATGTCGGATGTCGTAGGGGTGTTGAGCCCAGGAGTCATGTTTGCCCCAAGTCCTCGTGTGCTGAAAGATCCTAAGACCTCGGAGAGGTTGCTTCAATAGACGTGTGCCTCCTGCTTGGAGCAACACGAGGGCAGGTCATCTCATTAAGAATCGTCACTTGACCGTGAGTGTGAGCTGTACCAGCATGCTAGGGCATTTCGGCAGTTGTGACCTCAGAAAGCTTCGAGTGGGATTGGTCTATTGGGGATCCGGGCATTTCGGCTTTTTAGTGACCTTTTCATGACGTTCTGCTGGGAGCGACTGAGCCCTAAGGCATGTGAGTCCTGCCGTGCCCGCGCTGGACTGCCAAGGTCCGGAGTTTTGGCCTAGCTTTCCCCTTTCTCGCATGTTCTCGCTATATTTGGTGAATTGTAGGCAGGCCCTTCTAACAAGGATGGTTCTGGAGCTGGTGACCCTTCTCTTGCATGTTCCTATTTTCATTCTGGTTTTGCCAACGCTCCGAGAGACTTCATGGACCAGGGCTACAAACTCACACGAAGGGTACCCTTCGTGTTAGTGATTGTTTAGAGTAATTGTTCACACACTATATATTGTTGTTTTGGGTAACTGGGCCCCTAAGGGGCCGGGCGTTTATGCATGTTTTTAGCTTTCGTGGGTACGTGCAAACATACTTGATGCTCGCACTTCTTCGATTCGCTTCGATTCGCTTCGCTTGGAAACGTAAAAAGAGTCATAAACTGCTGTATGCAAAACTGTTCAAAACTGTAGCAAAACATCAAAAAGCGGACATTCTGAGCCACCCTTACGGCACTTGAGCCTTCTCACAAACAACCCTCTCCATCCAAAAACGTCACAAACGTGGGGAAAAACACTTGCTATCAAACGATACGTTCAAAAGACATTAAAAACGCACAGCCCCTTAGGGGCGCAGTTGCCTTGTTTTTGTGAGGGCCATTCGCTTACTGTCGGTGGATGGTGGGCACTGTGCACTGTGGCTGGAGCCTGCAGTGTCATTCAATGCGCTGTTCCCAGCGCCTTGCCTCAAATTCTGCAGTCATTTGCCAACTCAGTTATTGGCAGGGTTTGTCTGGGACCTGTAGGGCGAGACAGGTTTTGCTGTGTCATCTAACTCACAAGCTTTGCGTGTAAGTGCCCGCTCCTCCATTTTTTGACCATATCTAAGGACATGGTCAGCACTCAGCTTGCGACCTACAGGCTCCTGAGAAAGAGAAGAACATGGTTACGTGTGCCGTGCTGTTTTTATTCGAGGGGTAAGGTGACGGTATTTGACGGTAAAGTAGAAAAGACCAATCCTAAGCCTGGAGCAACGTGCATCAGCTTTATCCCCTTCCTCAATCTGGGCAAATGTCGGGCCAAGGAGCGATGACGCTTGTAGTTCCCTCATGGGAGATACGGCCTTCAAGCAAATTGAGGTGTCCGGTTCCTCAGCTGTGCGTGAGTCATTTGGCTGTTAGGGGAGCCAAATGGCCTGAAGGACCTGAGGCTGCGAGTGCCAATTTCTTGTCCGATGAGGTTCAGCCACCAGCAGTACTTTAGCCTCTTGACTTGACCAAGAGCACCGTTGATGGTATTTTTTTTGATTTTTTGATTGGAATTGTTTGAGCTGCTCTGCGACTCCATTGCATGAATGGAGTGCCACATTAGAACTTGAGGGAACGGCTGTTGGTCAGCCAGGTGACAATTCCCTGTTCCGCGCTGCCGACGTGCTGGTGGGGCAGTGGATTGGGGAGTGCAGCAAGCTGCGAGTGCACTATTCCAAGCCAGCCACCGGGCTGGATACAGTGTGATAAGTCCAAGTTGCACCTTGCAGCTAGTTCATTTCCCGAGCCGAGGTGATTGCATACCTGGGCTTCCTTTTGTTGAATGACCCGGTTGTTGGAAAGTACCATTTTTGGAGTGAGCCCTTGCCGCACTTCTGGGAAAGGTCAGGAGCTGAGCTATAGCATTCACAATTCATCCATCCATCCTTGTCTCATGTTTTTGAGCCGAATTACAAGGGCAAGAAGCTATTAGGAACCATTGCTACTAGTAACAAGGGCATCACTACTAGTAAATGAATTTGCTTTTCGTTTTTGGAATTCGCTTCCGCAGAATCATTTGAAAGCTTCCGCAGAGGTACCGCACCATGCAAAATTGCGATGTGCATGCCAAAGGGCGTCAGCTGGACGGAGGGCCTCCTTGTGACGGGGCTGCATGATGCACGGCATTTCTTGATATCATCCCTAAGCCCTAGGCAGTATGCCCTCGTCAGGTGCCATCGTGTTTGAAGAGCCACAGCTGGCAGAGGCCGCGTTTTGGCAAACAGGTGTGGATGGGTTGTTCTGCACATTTGGCGCTTTGGGGCTTCCTGGCTCAGATGAATTATTTCTTTGAATCATTTCTTGAGTGAATGGCGAACCTGGAGTTCAGTAGGAGGTGGTTGAGTTGGAGATGTGAATGTGAAGTCCTTTTGAGTGAGTTTCTTTCGTGGGAAGGTCTCCTTACTAGTCTTCATGTGGCTGGATACTGTCATTTATTTTGGTATCAGAGATGTGCAGAGATTCTTTGTCAAGAGCCAGGCTTTCGGAATCCGAGCGTCAGACCACTTGCGCTGTATGTTGGAGCTACACATCACCCAGAGAATGCATCAAAGGACCTCAGGGCTGGACACACAGGTGACAAGACATACGCGGTCGATGTTGTTCTTAAACTTAATACCTCAGCTGTGTAGCTGGTTGTTGATACGTGTCTCCAGCTGTCAGGATGTCCTGGTCATAAACCGTGCCCGGCTGCTTCGGGACATGCACTTCACTGATGCCTTGAATGCCATGAAGGCCTTTTCCTACCCGCCTTTAGATTGCATTTTGGGACGCCGCTTTTGTGCATTGCTGGGCTCAAACCTTTGGGCTAAGGCATGACTTCATCAACCAGAGGACAGGAACCAACAGTAGATTCACAAGCATGTGACCGCCACAAAGGAGACAGATGCCATTCGCAGAGATGGCTACTTACAAGGCAGCGGTGATGATGCCCTGGGACTTGAACCTGGTACCTCAGCAGAAATTGTTAGAAACAAAGCGGTGACAGGATTCTGCATGATTCTGGCCATTCTCAGGTGATGTTTCATGCTGGGCGCCAAGTCTATGGGCTAGCACATGGGGTCCACCACATGCACCGGTTTTGGCAAGTCTTGGCCGAGGATCTCTATGCAATGAACCTGCCTTTGTTCCTTCCAGATCTTGCTGGACTTCACCGAGTGGCTGTCACGTACTTTGCGCGCTTCCGGATGCTACTCGCCAAGATCAGATGTCAACGATGTGTTTTACGTAAGTTTTAGTGATAGTGTGACTTTGGCACACCTCGCAAAGTGGCAATGTTCACTGGACATTCATTTCAACTGCAGTAGTCCCCACCAGGAACACTGCGCATGAGGGGAGCTGAGCTTAGCTTTTCGGAATTGAATTCTACTTGTGTTTTGTTCTTTGCGCATTCCGCCTCCATGTGTGATGATCAGCTGAAGAACCGCGGGAAGATGCTAAAGCATGGTTGGCAGATATGCTCGTCAATCTCCTAGGCAGCCCTTCAGTGAACGTGGCCCATGGCCCTCGTCACCTCATCCCTTCTCACCCTTTGATTTGGAGTTCCTGGAGGCTCAAGGGCTTGGTTGCGGCAACCCTGTTGGACTTACTGAAAAATGAACACCTTTTTGTATCAGATTGGTTGGGGGGTTGATCTCAGCCTCAGCAACTGGAAGAGGACAGACTGCAGTGACTGCAGCCTCACGTGCGAACCCTTTCGCACCAGCTGCGAGGCCAGGCAGTACTGGCTCCACTTCACCGAGTATGTCCGTGCTCCGGCGGTACAGCATTTTGCCAGTCTTCCAGATCTTCTGCTGCAGGCATATGGAAAGAATGCGGAACATCTCAGACTGAGATCGAACCTTTTCTTGAGCGAGTCTTTTGGACAGGGGCAAGTTGAAGATACCTAGAGTTCTAGTCAAGCGCAGGGCCTAGGTCATCCTTCAAGGCAGTCAAACATCGAAAGGCTTTTCGTTTGATTCGTTTTGTTTGTTTATTTTGTTCAGCTCATTTTGAGTCTTTCGAAGCGGAACAGTCCAAAGAGCTACTGTACATCAAAGATGCCCATGCGGAATGACAAAGGCAGTCACATGTCAAATCTTGGAGGTCGTCGAATTGGATGGGGGTCTCATCTCCAAACAGATGCGGGCGCAGAACGCCGAGTGCTTTCGAGCAAGCCAGGACAGACAAGCATGAAGTGGTGCTGCACCAAGTCTTGATGATATTGACATGACATGCGGCCATCGCTGTTTGGTGAGGACTTCTGGCTGGGTGTTTTCGGCGGTTTTCAGCTGGGACAAGGTATGGTTTTCGGATGTTTGCGGCAACTGACTGTCACAGACGACCAAGAGAACCCTGTAAGCTTGTCAGCAGGCAGTTTGAGAGGCTTTGAATGAAGAAAACTTTGTCGTCATGTCGTCATGTATGAGATGTGCCCAGCGGAAAACAACTCCATTGACAAGCGCTTTATGCTGCATGTGCTGAGGACAGTTAATGATGTTAATGCTACTTGTAGCGTACATGATGAACACAGACGCTACTAGTAGCTCCTGTCCTTACTACTAGGAACAAAAAGCTAGTAGGAACAAAGGAAATCGCTACTGGAAGCAAGGACGCTACTAGTGGGTAGCCGCCACCTTGAGGCCGAAGTGTCCCTGCACCCCTGGCGAAGTGCTCAGGTGAGTGTGTGTCAGAAAGTCAGCCGAAACAATGCTTTTGAGGCCGAAGAAGATGTGAATTCAATGGCTTTGCGCTGAATGCAAATGCTGCAATTTTTTCGCGCAGAGGTGTTGCACTTTACAAACCCATGGGCGGAGAACATGTGCTGGCACGGTGGCATGTCCGAGGACGGAACTTCCATGAGTTCATAGAATCCAATTCGATCAGGGCATCTGAGCCTCAAGCGTTCCGGTTTGACCCAGGGAACGTGCTCTGAATATCGCAGGAGAGGTGCTGCGACACCTCCCTTGGAGCAGAAGGGGATGCTTTGTGCTTCGATGACTTTTGGACCTTCCACCGTGCCCGGGCTGGACGAGTCTAGGAAGTGGGTACATAAAGCAATCCAAAATATATACTGTAAGTGTGATGGGCGCCTCACGTGAGGCTGCTGCGTTCACAATCTAACCCTTGCCTCTCTGGATGATGCAGCTTGCGGCACCAGTCTCCTGGCTCGACTTGATTTTCATGTTGTCTTCAAACGGCTCCAAGCCTACCCCAAGGTGATCCAAGGAGGGCAAAGGGACTACCGCATTTGCCCTGCCAATAGCTTCTATTAGACTACAGACCTAACCTACCCCATGCAAGAAACATCAAACAGCGGCAACTCTTGAATTTGGCAGCCACTGGTCTCTGCAAATAGATGCAAAGAAGCATAAGCTTAGCAGCAGCACCTTAGCATAAGCTTGAGCTTCCTTTTTGGGGGCGTATGATGTTTTGCGTCTCGCAGTGGAGCGGGTTCTTTGTTGCGCTTGCGGCAGGTTCGACCATGTCGGGCACAGACCAGGGTAAGCTTTAGGAAACTTTAGGTGTTAAAGTGGCATAGATATTGGACACAGGGGGATGGAACGTCGACTGCGAGAATTGCTCAGGTGGGCCCTATGGCACCATTCTAGAGTCTCCGCTGGATGGGGTCCCGTGGGTCCAGGCCAATGCCTAAGTTTGCCAGATCACTGTGCGATTGGGGTCATGGCATGGCATGGTGCCACCTTTGTCCCGGGGGGCATAGATGAACATCGTCGTTGAGATTTCCCCGAGTGAGTTGGTTCAGAGTGTTTGGCACAGCCAACTCAGGCGGTTCCTAGCCAGCAGGAGCCCTTTGTGTTTCTTTGGGATGAGAAATCTGGGGGCACTGCTTTCATGCAGTGGCTCAAGTATTCAGCCGAATGCCTAGATCGAAGACATGATGCTTCTGCAAGCCGAGGCAGGTAGGTAAACGGATGCGCTAGCCCTGGAGTGAAGTGTGTTGAATCCAATGGATCATAGATTTAGTCCGTGAAGGCCGAGATTGACGACAGGATTTGCATGAGCAAATGCCTGGGTGGTGAGAATATATTCGAGCTGTTACTGTGGTGGCATCCTGTTTGACAAGGTTTGGAGTCTGGGGAAGCTCGAGTCCTCCTTTATGCTGCTGAGACTGAACCGGTGATGGATTGATGGACTGGATCGGAATGCAGTGCACATTTGGAAAAGTTCGGGGTTAGCGCCCTGCCCTAACTTCCTCCTAAGATGTTAAGATGTGTGGAGAGTACACTGCTTGCGCTGAGTTCCAGTTTCGTCATTTGCCCAGGTACACCTTGCCTGGGCATCCAGTGGCGGCTTGGTCCTCGGACTCGATGCACCTGTGGCGCACTTCAGCTGGGCCAACTAAGGTTGGCAGCCCGTTCTACTTAAAGACAGCCTCGCCCTTGCAGCGGTCCAACTTCCAGGTCTTGTCTGGACACTTTGACTGGCCACTTAGCGTTGAGTAGGCTGAGTTGATTTGACTGTCCGACCATGTCCGACCACCAGAGGCGCGTGATGCACGAAGGCATTGACTGTCAAAAGCGGAAGAAAGTGCGTTGCTTCCTTCTCGTGCGCGATCCCATTGAACGGTTCCTCTCCTACTATGAAGAGAGAACCGCCTTGGTCTCAGCCCTTCCTTCTACACAGAGAGTCTTAGGGTCTCTTTCGGGTCTTGAAGGGTGTCGCAATGCATAGCACAGCGCTCTGGCCAGTAGGTGCCAGAAAGGTGCAACCGGCATGACATGGACTGTCCCTCAGGACCGGCACTTCGCCAAGACTTTGGGCCGAAGCCCAGCTGGTCCAGGCCCTGGACATCAGGAGCGGCATGCCGTTTGAAGTGGTTCCAGGATCTAGAGGCAGGGCTCAGCCTCGCTTAGCCTCGTTTCCTGAGGCTGGAGTGCAGCTGCCTGGCGGTTCTACCTCAAACGTGTGGCACGTGAGAGCTTGTGGTACAATGGCGAGGAGGGTTTTGCAGAACACGAGCAGCAAGTTCACTCTTGAGATTGGAATGTTCAAGCACTCGGGCGCTTTTGTGTCCATGATGGGCATTTGGAACGGAGGAGACCGGCCTTTTCTGCAACAGGTGGGGTTTGTACATCTCATATCCATGCCTGTGGAGAGCATGACAAAAGACCGCGGCAGGGAAAACATGCTGTGCCTGGATTTGGAGAAGACATCCCACCACCCGTTGATTCATCGGGTTCGTCCTGACTCAGTGAAGGCCATCATGCTGCAGAGATGCAACTGACATGAGCTTTGAACTTCCGCGTTGCCCCCGCACCTGGTGCAACAAGATCATTTTTACATAAAACATCATAAAACTCACCTTTGGGGAGCTGTGATATGCTGGATGGCGCTGTGCTGAAGAGCCTTTTGCTCGTCCACCCTGCCAGGAACGCTTTTACTTCCGTTTCCTGGGTGGGCCCCAGAATAGACTGACCTGGATGCTTGACCCAGAATTTGGCAATGTTGGTGGCTCAGCTGATCAAAATCACAAATCACCCAAAGAATTACATATATAACCAAAAAAGCTACAATGACAATACTGGCAACCCTGTCGGCATCCAGACATGTCTAGGAAGGTTTGAGGAGAGCAGAAGTGAGCACATTGAGCCTCGCCAACACTTCACATAAAGAAGGAGTCCTTCTTCGGAGTGATAAAGCTACTTATTTCCACGTCGTTCCACAAGTGTTTATGCTGAAGAGAGGCCGCGGCAGCCCAAGCAAGTCGTATCATTAAGTCTGACCAAGGCCCAGAGAGCAATTTGGCGATTGCGTCGATGTGTGGTGGGCTTGCAAACGGAGCACTTCCAGGGCTTCAAGCAGGTGCTTGCTTATCATTTTCCCTGGCTCTCCGAAGTGCCCAAGGAGCTGCAAACAAGAGCGAAACTCTGAAGAACAGAGCCTTGGAGCTCAGTCATGCAGTTGTGAAGTGGTGTGAAGGTATTTTGGAGCAATTTGGGTCTCTGGTGTTAAGCTGGCCCAAATCCCTCCAAAGAAAGGACTAAAGGTCAAGGTTAAGTCTCCTCAAAAATCTACATAGGAACCAAATGAATAGTGCGAGTCGAGGGCTTCTTGAATGAAGCTCCCCCCGCCTGCGGTTGAAGAAGCCTGAGCTTTCCTGCGTCTTGGGTAGCTACTATTTCTAGGCGCACCCCCTGATCCCTGCAGGAGATGGGCGCCAGAACTTCCCAAAAGCTGCAGCCTCAGTGGGTTGGCGCAACCTAGTGCTACAGAGCATCGTTGCCGCTAGAGAGGTCGAGAGGATCACTGCTGCTGTCGTCCTTGCCCCACTTTGCTCGGAAACTCATCGCTCGCTACAACAGCAAGGAGCCTGAGCTGCGTGAGTTGAGAATCTGATGAAACATGGGGGACAGCTCTGTCGGGAGTATTGGCCGGTTGACAAGTGGGTTTACAGAAAGGAGGCGGTGATGTAACAGCGCTTCTCAGGGTGGTAAGGGTGCTGAGAGGTAGGTGCGCCATGATAGCAAAGAGAGCGGTGCAATTGAGCAGCGTCAAAAACCTCCCACGAACAGTTTAAGCAAACTTGTAAACTCCAACTTGCCCGCGGAAGCCAAAACTGCAGTCGTGGAAGCTTGCGGAAGCCACCGCGTAAGTATATGGTAAAATTCACCATCGCTGAAGCTTTGCGGAAGTGCACATGTTATTTTGTTGAATCTTCTTGACAATAACAAATGCCTCTATACTTTAAGGAGATTTGTCTAACCTATGAGCACTTTTGAGAAATACATCGCGGAAGCGCCACGGAAGAGGATTTCAACCAAACATGGCTCGCGGAAGCCAAAACACAGGTCGCGGAAGTTCCGCGCAAGCATTGGGGGAAGCAAGCCATGAGTATAACAGATCGTAGACCGGTTTTTGACACCGCTCAATTAAAACTATTAAGACATATTTTTCTGTGTGTTTCTTAGTGGTAGGGAAACATTTGCACTGTTTACCAAGACATACACAAAGATGAGGCTGCTGATGGCGCAGCATTGGAACATGTGCTGTAGAAGTCGTGGCTGCGAGTTGTGTCGTGTTCACAGGTGCCGTAATATAGGAGACACCAATGTAACAAAAGGGGCGGCTATCCCTCAATTTTGGAGCGAAGTGCAGGCTAGCTGAACATTGAACACCTTTGCTTTTCTGTCTTTTCCAAGGGGTGGAAAGCGGTCTTGAATGCGTGATGCAGCAGTGAGAAACCGGATCCTGCTTGTCGGGGAGGGAAGATGCAGTCCCTACGGCCCTCGTGTCCCAAGAGCATTTCATCAGGCCATCAGTCGCACTCAGCCAAGAAGACATGAACAGGTCAACAAGGGATTTGAAGTATTGCACGGACTCTGGAAAGACAACCACAAGGTCGTTTGAGGTGAGAAATGCCGGCATGTTGCATAGGAATACTGTAATCTAGGTGTGGGTATTTCGGTCGTTTGTGCATGGCACCCCTACTGGCACTTAACCTTGCTTTGTGTAGGTGCCATCACTATGCGGATGGGTGTTTGAATGTGCTTGGGTGCCATCCCACTTTCTTGATTTGTCCTTTCTTGATCTGTCTTGTGGATGCATATGTTGGTTTATGTAACTCAATCAGGATGCCTGATATTTCCACCCCACAGGACATGATCGTCTACAGTGCCGCTAGGCCTGGCAGCCACCAGTTTTCGGGTGATATGGTATGATCCGTCCTTTCTTTGGTGCATCTTTAACAAAGACCTCAATCAGCCGATCGAGCTTTGACACTTTCGACGCAGCATTTTTGCCACATTGATTGACATTCTGGTCACATTTGGCCTTGAATTGCGGCTCCAGCTGCCTAACTCAAATTTGAGTTGGCCCGCCCCTTCTCCGGCTCTCCTGGGCGTTCAGTCTTCGCCATGGAGGTGACAGTGGTTGACACGGGCGATCTTCCTCCAGGTGCCATCATCTCCTTCCACACCGGCACCGTTCGACGGCATGCGCAGATCAAGAGTGGCAAGGCCATTGGGGTCACCGGAATTGGCACTGAACCCGTGCGGGTGGATTTGATGACGGAGGTCGGAAGCCATACCTTTGATGTGACTGCGGGGCAGGATGTTTATGAGGTGCCGATCAGTGCTTCCCCGAGCTCTGGAGCCGAAGATATGAATTTGAAGCTGCAGATCCGTGGAGCCCCAGCAGGGAAAGAGGACCCTACGGATTTAGGTGGGAGCGGCCCCTCCCGAAAGCTGCAAACTGCTCTCATGATGCGAAGCTACTTGGACAATCACGATGTGCTTCGCCAAATGCAAGAGCTGCTTCAGGATATGGTTGTGAGCCAGCCAGAGGACCCCATTGACTACATGATCAAGCGGCTGGAGATGGTTTGCAAGGACAGTGCAGGTGCCGACTATGACCTCATTGAGGGTGAAGTGGCTGGAACTGTCGAGCCAGCAGGGGCCCCCAAGAAACCAGCACCAGCAGATAGTGATTCGGATGACGGGGCAGACGATGGACCAGATGAGCCACCACCTCCACCAGTGCAGCGCAAGCAAAGACAATCGGTCTCAGCTGAGGCATATGGCGCGTTCAACGAACGGAAAGCCTATGTCCCCAAGGTCATTGAAAAGGATGAGGCTCAAACGGCACGGCTGCAAGAGGTCTTGCAAGCGTGCTGGATGTTCAAGCACCACACACCAGAGAATATGAAAATCATCCTGGATGCGATGCAGGAAAAGCGTGTGGAGGCAGGCACCCGCCTGATCCAGGAGGGAGACGAGGGGGAGGTGATGTGGGTCATCGAGGATGGGGAGCTCGATTGCATCAAGCGCATCCAAGGTGAGGAACAGGTTGTAAAGAAATGCAGCCGAGGAGATGTCTTTGGTGAGCTGGCCCTCTTGTACAACTGCAAGCGTGCTGCATCTGTGCTCGCTTCGAGGGCATGCATCCTCTGGGAGCTGGACAGAGAAACCTTCAATGCCATTTGCTACGAAGCTGCTCAAAAAGCACCTCCTGAATATGAAGGTTTCAGTGCGCCAAGCGAAGCCGCAGCTGCGTCAAGCGCAGCAGCTGCAGCCGCACCAGCTGTAGCCGCACCGGCTGTAGCCACACCGGCTGTAGCCGCACCGGCTGCAGCTGAGGAGAAACCTGCCGATGATTCCGATGCCTCAGATGACGGCGGGGATGTCGAGGAGCCGGAGGCCCCGGTGAAGAAGCCGGTTCGACCACCAGGCCGTCGGACGGGAGTCAGCGCAGAAGCAAGCAAAGGAGATGCGGATGATTGGGAGCCACCGGTCTATGGAAAGACTCCAGAAGAGAGAGCATCATTGTCAAACATTATCAAGTCGTCTCGTGATTCCAAGATTCACATGCTCTTTGGCACCGTGAACCAAGATACATTCGAAAAGATTTTGGATGCCATGTTTATCAAGAAGATCGCAAAGGGAGAGAATGTGATACAGCAAGGAGATGAGGGGGATTACTTTTACATCGTGAAAAAGGGCGATTTCGACATTTACGTCAAGAAGGGTGATGATCCTCCCAAGAATCTAGGCTGCATGAAACTCCTTGACACAGCCATGAATTTCAGACATCTGCCGCTTGGCAGAATTTGGGCAACCACGCGCCCCGAGTATCCCAAGGAAGGTCTTCCAGTGTGGCCCTGGCTTTGCCTTCGGCGAGATGGCGCTACTGTACACCTGCCCCAGGTGGCTGGCGAGTAGTGCTTGTGTGATGCACAAACACTAGTCCCAAATAACCCATAATATCCTAAAGAGGGTAAAGGGGACACCGAGGTGGCTAAGTCAGACAATCTCTCTTGACTCCGACTCAATCGCTGCGGTCTCTTCAGTCTGCAGTGCCAGGTCTGCGACCATTACGGCGCAGGATGACTCGGAGGTGTGGAGCCTTGACCGGACGGCCTTCCGCAACCTGGTGGTGCGCAGCTCTGAGGCGCAGTTCAAGGAGCCATTCCTCCAAGGGTTTTCTGATAGGTATGTGATAGCTACTTGCATTTTGCATCATTTTGCTGATTGTAATGCTACAAGTGCATTGGTAGTCACGCCACCACGCCGATCACTTTTGTGCCAGGAGTCCTGCAAGTTCCTTAACAGTTGCGACATTTTTGCAACTTTAACTCAGGACTGCGCATGGCTTGACCTGCACGATTTTAGGGTGATGACAGCGTAGTTATAACTGTAGAGGTGGACATCCTATGACAATGACAGCAGATCTAGAAAAGGGATTTGGCCCTGCCAGGATCAGATTTGTTCGCTAGCTGAAGTGCTTGAAGAAGAAGAGTTTGATGATGATGAGGCGATTGTCGAGCAAGGTGAGAAAGACGCCGCTCAGTTGAAGTGAATATTATAACCTTGATCAACTTTGGACTTTGAATGATTTTTGTAGTCGCCGATACGAGATTTCTTGATTACTGGAACGCTTGGCTGCCTAACCCCAGGACAAGATGTTCATCCTGAGAAATGGCCAAGCAGTTGCCTGCATTGCTGGTGAGAAGGGTGAGATTGAGGTCAAGCAGTACAGCACCCCGGCGCTGCATTCAGCATATGAAAGCATCTCACAAGGCTTATATAATATATATAATATAACTATATAACCCATCTCTTGCAGGATGCTGGCCAGGTTGATGTCGCCCATGATCGTTTGAGGCTGATGTTCTGGACACCTGTCCATTCTTTCTTTTCTCGGCATCTCAGGTAAAGGCGAATACTTCGGCGAAATTGCACTGCTCAGTGGCCAGCCCAGAAAAGCCAGCGTGTACGCAGTGGGCAAGGCGACATGCTTCTACATCACGCGGCCCACCTTCAAGCGTATTTTGGGACCTTTGCAGAGCTTCCTGGAGACGAACATGGACAAGTATGCCAAGTACCAGGATCAGGGATGGGCAGTTGTTGCGTGTGACTCATAGAATCCATAGAGCATGTGCGCTGTTTAACGTCCGGAACAAATGTGTGACCTGAAAACGGACCCTGGAAAGACTGGTTCCGCGACAGCAGCTGTTTATTGTTCAATGCTATTTTCTGGGCATTCTCGGAACTTTGAGGGACAAGCCCTGACAAGGATGCCATGAAGGATGCTGCAGGGGAGAATCTTGATGAAGATGCTAGAGAGAATGAGGATGAGGACACTCACAATGCAGCAAAGCAGGAAAAGAAGCCGAAGGTGGTGCGAAAGAGAGTCACCTGGCGTGATGCAGCCCTTTTTCTTGGTTCCTTAATCCCCTTGTCATACATATACTCAATGGTCAGGATCGATCGCAGTGCGACGACGCCAGGAGAAGAAGCAAGAAGATCTTCACATTGAGAAGAAAGTGGTCAGCGAAGCAGGCTCAGAGGCACCTCCAGAGACATTGGCTGACAAGGTGGCCCAGGAGCGGAAGGGGCTTGGCCGTTCTGAGCTTGCGACTGAACTTTCGTGTGGTGATTCTATACGCAGAGTGTTTGGTCAAAGGTTTATATTATATAGATGACAAACTTGTGAGTAATCAACACTAGTTTTAGTTTGAGACCGATATTGTATATACTATATTGCTCTACATGCCATCAGAATCCGCGTGAATAGAAGCGAAAGCACAAAATTTGCAGGTTGTCCCCTTGAGTTTCTATGGGTCAGTCTGATTGCTCTCCTGAATCTCTTGAAGTCATTGGCCCTCAAATCTGACTGAAAGCGGTGACCGGAGATATCGACTCGATGTCTTTGCTGCGAGGACTTCAAAAACCCGGCCTTGGTGACTCCCAGCGACCAGCACGTGGTGGATGAGGCGCAGATGATGATGTTTGGCGGGGTCGTGCCTGGCCAGAAGTTTACCATGGACAAGCATATCCATTGCCGCTCCAAGTTCGAGAAGCAACAGAAAGGACTTGGGTTTTGGGCAGGTGAACGGGCTTCCTAGCCATTTGTTTTGCACTAGTGATTGCTTTTGGTCATGAGATGTGTCTGGCTTAAGAAAAGAAGCCGTGCGCAAACACACCCACTATGGAATCGCCATGCAGCATGCATCATCCGCGAAGTTTGTGTCGCACTGGTTTCACACGGTTTGGCTGCCAAATGCTAAATCAAGATTTTCCCACCACGGATCAAAGATGCTTGTTGACTTGATGCGCTTTCAGGAGACGACGACTACTATGTGTGGCAGGGGACCACGAAGCTGAAGCAAGCCACTGAAATCAGCGTGCTTTGCCAGAAGGGTCAAAAGTCTGCATCGGACCCAACACCGAACCAGGACAACTTCTTCATCCAGCACGTTGGGCCCATTACCATGTATGGAGTGTGTGACGGACATGGGCCCTTTGGGCACTTGGTGTCTTTTCGTTTGGTGCAGACCATTCCGTATTTCCTGACCAAGAGTGAGCACTTTGGGAAGAATTGGGAAGAGGCATTGAAAGAATCCTTTGCAAAGGCCCAGGAGGACTTGGAGGAGTTCTGCAGCTTGGTTCCTTAGTAGCTTTCTTCAGCAAGATGTGGCAGGAACAGGGTGATCTTTGAAAATTGGATGCTGGCTCGAAAGTTTGATGTGCAGTAGGGCAAGACGGACCAGGAAAATCGAAAATAGAGATCGATGCATTCTGCAGAGGTACGGAGAGAGGTATGGGAGGGATAGGGAGATGCTGCGCGGCCCAGGCAAGCTACACAGCATCAATATCGAGGCTTCGGGTGCTGCAGGCTCTTGCC